TAATGAGTAGATGACTCCCTTGCAGTTTACCAGGAGATTTGAAAGCAAAGGGAAAAAGTTATGCAATGCAGTGCACCTAGGGAGGGCTAACACAGCCAAAGCAGATTTCTTTGGCTCCAGCAAAGAATGCCTCTCATTTCACATGGTTTTCAACATGATTGCTTCCTCCTTATCCATAATCAAGGGAAATCAAAGCAATTCTATATGGAAACTTCTGACTTTAGGATATTTAGGACTCAAAGCTTTCCAACATTAGCCATGAAAGCTTTGGCAGCAGTCATTTATAACTTATTATATGATTTAAAACTTTACGTGAATAAGTCAAAATGACATGAATTTTTAAAGTAGATCTCCTTAGTTTAAATATATGTATATTTGGAAATAAAGAAAATCATCACCGTGAGTATTCTTTGGATCCTACTCATGACCACTTCTGAGCTTGTCCATTCATTCAAATATTAATTCCTATCAAGGGTAACTTTCTTTTTTCTTTTTTGCTTGAGGGAGATTTGCCCTGAGCTAACATCTGTGCCAATCTTCCTCTGTTTTGTATGTGGGTTGTGCCACAGCATGGCTGATGAGTGGTGTAGGTCCACATCTGGGATCTGAACCCATGAACCTGGGCTGCCAAAGCAGAATGTGCTGAAGTTAACCACTACATAAAGGGGCCAGGCCCCAAGGGGTTACACTTATTAATATTTGAATGATGCAGTCAAAAGGAAAAAAAAAAAAACAGGAGGAAGGGGAATTGAATCTATTTCAGGGTATATCTCAGTGCAAAGAGATCATAGGCCAACAGATTCAAAAGGCCTTAGGACCAAATATATTTGGTCTTATTAATTTCTTAGAGCCAGTAAAACACTGCTTTAGAAAGCAAGTGAAACATATCTGTCCCACACTCATATGGTTAAATGCCTTGAAATGGCTATTAATTTCCATTATGTTTTAAAGTTGAACAACCTCAAATCATAATCTATAACAGCATTATGTACAAGAGTATCAACTCCAGTAGCTTTCTTCTATTACATTCTTTTTTTCAGATTGCTAATGTGTACATTATATTCAAGGACACAAACTGCCTAAGACATTATAATCCAAATGAAGAGATGGAAGAGTGAGAATAGATGCAATATTTGAAATGTGTTAAGATAATCTACTGGTAGAGGAGTAACATTTGACTAAGTAAGGACACATTTTGAACTAACAGTGCAGAAATAATTTTCCTAAAGGCATTCTTTTTGAAGAATGTCTACTATACTGTTCCACACACCCTTCCCTACAATTCTAGTTAACCCCCTTTCTCTGAAGTTTCTAGTTCAAGTACTATTTGTTTTCATCTAGTCTTTCCAATCAGTACAGTCATTATCTGTACTGTACATTATCCCTTAAGAGAACTGTTCCTCTCTCTTTCATGTTTGCACTCCCCATGACTTGGCACACTACAGGTTCCTAATTACATTTCATACTAACTGCACCCAATAAAGAAAAAGTAAGGAGTAATGCTGCATGCAGAAGAGGGACATTATTAAGCCAAGAGCATGGGAAAGTTCAAACAAACGCAATTAAGCAGCATTTTTTAAGACTCTGTGCAAGAGCATAGCATAGAGATTCCTGATTAAAATGGATGTATGAATTGGATTATATTTACATCTCATGGATATAAAAAGCATGCAGTTAAATGGAAGTTTTGTACCACCCAAGGAGCTGTGATTTTAAATTTTGGTTCCACTTAGATTGTGAGTCATTCAGTGAGGAGAAAAGGCCCATAAGTCAAGTGGAGAGCCCCATTCATCCTGGATATTTTATGGAACCTTCAGCACCTCTGCTCCATTTATTTTCACTCCTTCCAGTAAGAGATATAGTCCCTTAGGTCTGGGTAAATGATATGACCTCATTTCGTAGAATCTTTTGCCTTGAATCACCATCTTTTATTGTCACTGGGTCAGTTCTAGAGGACTTCTCTCGGATAACCTCCACTGGACGTTGACTCATGAAACCTGATCTTGAGTTTCAGCTCCGCAGTTACTAGCTGAGTGACTGATGAAGTTAGTTAAATTTTCTTAGCTTGTTACTCTTCTTTAAAATAAAGGTAATAATATATACCCCATAAGGTAGATGAGAGGATAAAGTACAAGTATATAAACTTTAAAAGTTATTTCTGAAGTAAAATGGAAAAATAAAGCATTTGTTTGTATAGCTTATCTTAACCACCCTTTTATTCTTTATATAAGACAGATCACATCCTCATGACTTTAGGTGCAGCTGTCCTGGCCTCTTGGCCATACTTCAGCCACCAACTGGACGCCAGTCTCAGGATGTCTGCTCTTGCTGTTCCTTCTGTCCGAAGGGCTCTTGTCTGACCTATTCACATGGCTGCCTCCTTCACTTCCTGAAGGTCTGTGCTCATATTTTACGTAACCAGAGAGGTCTCCTCAACCCCCTATATAAAACCCCCTACTCCCTAACCATTTGCTATTCTTTCTACCATGCTTTATTTTTCTTCAGAGCATTTATCACTATCTCTAGCTCAATAAAATTTATATTCCTTGAGAGGAGTGATTTTATTGCTTTACCCCTAGGACCTAAAATAATGCCCTGCATATAAAGATCTTCAAGAAGAAATACATGTTGAATAAATAAACACTTGAATTAATGTTCCTTAACCTATTAGTGAGGGAGATAAGCAGTGTAAAGTGTGACTTTGTGTAGCTCCACAACTTCTCAGTTTATATAACCTAAGACAAGTTAAATAACATTTTCTAAGCCTCAAGATACTTTTCCATAAAATCTAATATTACCTTAGGTTTGTCCTACCTGGTTTGGTCCATGTGTGCCTATTTCTAACGTATTTTTTATGCTTCAGCCAGAGTAATCTCTTCAAAATGCAAATATAATAGTCACTATTTTTAAAAATCCCTTAATGATTTGCTTAGAATAAAGCAAGTTATTGCTTTAATGACATTCTTAGGACAAAGTTGAAGATCTTTAATTTGGTCTGGCAGATTTAGAACCTGTCCATCTTATAAATCTCCTCAATGCTGTCTCTGTGTTTCACTCTTGATGGTCTTCTTTTCAGGTCCCTCCTAGTGCCGTGGTCTGTCTTGACTTAAAACCTGCATTTAGCTTGTCCTCCACTGCTCCTCCCTCAATTTCTAATGTATGCTTTTGCATAGCTAATTCCTATTCATCCTTCAAGTCTCTGTTTAAATGCAAGTCTTCTACATGTCTGTTTGTCCATCTATCTGTCTATCCATCTATCGCATGTTGAACTATAGGATATTGCCAATATTCAATCAGGTTTGAACTATCAAAATGGCAGTTTCCTATGACTTCATCTAGAATGTCTGTCTTTTTTTGCTATGCTGTAAGCTCCACAAGGAAAGGATTAAGTCTTTCCTATTTATTATTATATCCTCAGAGCTGAGCACAGTATCTGAGGCTGTTAGTAAGTTTCCTGTCAATGTTCTTTGAATTAATGTGCTGTCACATGGCAGTAATTATCATTATTGTGGAAATAGCACTTGTTGATTGTTTTACTGCCACTGTAACTATTTTGTAAATCTGAATCTGTGACTATCTTAAGATCATGAATAATGATGAGTTATTTAGAAAGGGAAGAAGGGAAATATCAAGGAGGAGGAAAATGAGAAGGAGGAGTTCAAGGAAGAGGTAGGGAAGACAGGCTTGAGAAAGAGTGATGGAAGAAGAACTAGGAAAGAAAAAAATGACGAAGGAAGGAGGAAGAGAGAAAAAGGAGAAGAAAAGGAAAGGATATAGAATTTTTACCTTGCAGTAACTTGAATACTCTCAGGTCTATCAGTTAAGGAATAAGGGAGTTTCATTGTCTGTTATTAAGGCAGTCATCCTGTGCCAACACATTTTCAATACACATGCTCTTCTTGCCATTTTTTCTTGATCCCAGTTTTGATCACCTAGCTTTAAGTTTACTGATTATAACTTCCTTTTTTTCATGTATCTCTGAAGTTTTACCTCTTTCATCTGTAACTCTAATTCTATAAGGTTATTTCTGTTTTACTATTTAGACTTTTTTTCTGTTGCTTCCATTACCAATTTCTCTTGAATTTTATTTTCTTATTTAGTCATGATGTTTTTATTTCAAGAACTGTTTCTCATCTGCTAATTTTGAAGATTTTGCTTATATTTAATCTATTGATATGTAGCTTTCATGTGAATCTCAAAATCTCATCCACAAATGTCTCACATAACTATGACTTAAGCACATAAGACAGATTGTTTTTTCTTTAAAAGAAATGAAGTGTCAATTATTAATGACCATATTATAAGCAAGTCTAAAATACATATTGCTGTTTTTTAAAAGAATCATAAAAGGGCAAGAGAAGCTATGTAATTATATTTCATGACTATTATCAGAAATTGTAGCAGTTCCTGTGAAGAAAATGTACAAAAAGGTCAATTATTCAAAATACAATGAACAGAAAAAAATCAATTCAAATTATCTTGAAAAAAAGTAACATTATGAGGATCATAATGAATGCATAATTAATTTATATTCATATGGCATTGTTGAAGACTCTATATTCATTAATGGTTTTTTGTTTTGCTTTGTTTTGTATCTAAAGATACAGGAGGAATAAATATCCCCAATGTTGGAGTTCGTCAACTTTTCTTTTTAAAAAGATTGGCACCTGAGCTAACAACTGTTGCCAATCTTCTTCTCTTTTTCTTTTTTTTCTTCTTCCTCTCCCCAAAGCCCCCAGTACACAGTTGTGTATTCTAGTTGTGAGCACCTCTGGCTGTGCTATGTGGGACACTGCCTCAGCATGGCTTGATGAGTGGTGCCATGTCTGCACCCAGGAGCTGAACCAGTAAAACCCTGGGCTGCCAATGAAGCAGAGCATGCAAACTTAACTATTCGGCCATGGGGCCGGTCCCCACCAACCTTTTTTAAGGGGCCTTTTAAAGCTGAAGTAACTACGAAGATAGAAATCAGAGTGATAGTGATTGGGGAAAAGTCTTACCATCTAGATCATTCTCTGGGGTCTCCGCTGTGTACCAGTTGGAAGGTGGTCCAGTGCCATTGACTGTCATGGCTGACACTTGGAAACTGTATTGACTTCCTTTCTCCAGTCCTATGAAAGAATTTTCCACAGGGAAAAAAAGTTATTGAATAACAAGTATATCTAGTTGGGTTTCAAAACTTTTAGTAAAATTTTAACAATAGTAGACATGCTTTACACTGTTTGTGATTGTTGTGGTAATTATTGTTGTTTTGGCCAAAAGGGCAGGAACATTACAGTGAGAAATCAAATTATTTTCATGTATTCTCATTTATTTTTTCCAGTTTATAAAAATGTATCCCTGAAAAAAGCCTCAGGGCAGACGCAGAATATAAAATATGAACGATGAAGAAATAACCAAAAATAGCAAGGATCATTTTTCCTCACAGTCCAGAAGAGGCTTGCCTATAAATCAGGAACAGTCATGCTAAAAACTTATGTCTCCATCATTCGCTCAAGGTCAGTGATTATGTTTTTTTGGGCCAAGAAAGAAGAATCCAAAGCCACTGCACTTCAGCACAAAATACAAGGGCTTTCGTTTCTCAAAACCGTCACGAAGCATGCTTTATTTTACATCAGCTTCCATAGTAGCGCATGAAGAAAGTCCACCCCTGTGATGATTTGGGCACATCACATTGGACACAGTGATGTCATCAGGGTGTATTTTAGAGAGCACAAAGAGGACAGGCAGACAAGAGAGTGTCAGTTGATCATTAGTGTGATATGGGCAAATTTTTTATGTAAAGAATTTTCCTTTTAGCTAAATCTCAAAGTAGCTCATAAACATGACAAATTATTGTAAAACAAATGATACTTGTCAAAAGACCATATGACTTATTTGAGACGTTGAGAACTTGGCTTAAATTGACAAGCTCTTAAACCTCAAAGCGTTGAACAACCTTGATAAAGATAAACATATAATCTCTCATTGTTTTTTCCATGGATCTGAAACAGCACACACATTTGGTGCTAAGGAAAATTCATAAAGAAAACAAACTATTAGAGAAATGATGCTTATATCACGTAAAAAGTTCCATGTTTATAGATTTTTGCATAGGAAGATGAGTAAATTTTGGTACTTAAGGGGAATCCTAACTTACTATTAATAGGAGACATTGTTTTAAGTGATGGTTAGAATGCACTTGTTAATGTCAAGGGGCAGTGGCCTTCAATAAGTGGTGCTATTAGAGAAGACAATTTGATAAACTCACCCACACAAAGTTATCTATAACACAAGCATTGTTCTCTTAAGCTTTTAATTTTAATCTTCTTTTTTTTTTTTTCTGCTTTATCTCCCCAAACCCCTCCTGTAAATAGTTGTATATCTTAGTTGCAGGTCCTTCTAGCTGTGGGACGTGGGATGCCACCTTAACGTGGCCTGACAAGCAGTGCCATGTCAGCGCCCAGGATCCGAACCCTGGGCCGCCGCAGCGGAGCGCGCACGAACTTAACCACTCAGCCACGGAGCCGGCCGCTAAGCTTTTAATTTTATAAAACAGACTGGAAGCTCCATAAAGAAATGGACTGAGAATGATGTTGGTGCTGTTGTTGTTTTTGTTATTATTGATGTTTTAATTGCATATCCATAGAGCCCACTCCAGTGCCTGACACACGGAAGGCACACACACACAATGCCTGTTGAAAGATCCGCTAAAGCAGTGCCTAACACAAAGGAAACAGGGTAAACTGCAATGTTCAACATCATCAGCAAGGCAACGAACAGAGACTTTTGAACACAAGGCATTTGTCATGCCTCAAGTAGGCTTGTGCCCACTTGATTTGTCCCTTAGTTAACACAGCATTAATCTGATATTTGTTAACATTTGTACCCTTTCATAGGCACTGCTGTTGATTACTCAGGGAGAGGGATTATAGAGCTCTTCTGGGAAATTTAAAAACTAATAGGGAGAGAACCTTGGGAAGAAATGCTTACCTAAGCATTGCAGGTCATGACTTTCAGAGTGGTCCTCTCTGAAATAGTTTTAGACAATCAAGAATATACTCTTTTGTATTAAGTAGAAATTTAGCTTCATTTTTCCTTGAAATGGGTAGGCAATGATGTCAATATCATCTCCAACAACTGATTCGAAATACCATCTGTGATGGTCAGTTTTATGTGTCAGCTTGGCTAGGTGTTGTTGTAAGGGTATCGTGTAGATGTGACTAAAGTCCATAATAATTTTATTTTACGTAAAAGGATATTACCCTAGATAATTTGGGTGGGCCATGTTCAATCAGGTGAAAGGCCTTAAGAGTAAAGCTGAGACTTCCCTGAAGGAGAAATTTTACTTTTAGAGAGTAGCTTCAGCTTGAGAGTTCCAGTCTGCCTTTCCTCATGGCCTGACTGGTAGATTCTGGAATTGCCTAGCCAGCCATCACAATCACTTAAGCCAATTCCTTACAATATATCTCCTATGGTTCTGTTTCTCTGCTTGAAACCTAACTGACATACCATCTTACCACATCCAATATTTTGATATATAAATCTTTTTGAATGCCCTGTGTATTCTGTTCCATTCATTTGACTTTAAATCAAGAGGCTTTCATGTGCAGAATCCATCAATTTTTAGTAGAAGTTAGTTAAAACATCTCACTATAAAGTAGATATGCAAATTTCTCCTTATAATTTTGCCAAACTTTGATTTATATATTTTGCGTTCAGGATCTGTCAGAATCATTAATTCAGTTTTGATTAAACAAAAGCCTACTAACGACTTGAAGTGAACATGAGACGGCAGTTTAGAGACCATCCATTAAGTCTTTCCCCAGCGGGATCTCACCTGGCCAGCCCAAGTACTGATGAGAATGTCCCTTCCAAGCACGTGCAGTAGGAGACTGTCCATCTCATCCTCTCTATGACACCTATAGTGAAGGTTTAACACGCTGTATAGACTAGTGCCTAGGTCACTCTGATAATCCTGCCAAATTTCTTTGAAATATTATATTTTATGTTAAAAATTTATTATGCATTTTATTCTAGAACATAGCTGCGAAAATCTCTCTCTCTAAAAACACCTGGAAATTCTAGATTAAATAATAAAAAATATTAAAATATATACATAAAATTCCAATAGTAAAAGAGGTCTTAATGTCTAGTTAAGTGGCTTATTTAATGCTATTTAGATGTACCTCTAACAAAAGTGGTCCTTAAATAAATCAGGAATAGCTTTGGTATGAGAAAATCACCAAAGGAGGGAACCTACCCCAGGCATTTGTTTGTTAGAAATTTCTTCCTCAGATTGCACTGAATCTGTTTTACCATAGCAATACCTGCAGATAAACTCCAGTTTTACACAGTGGGATTAAAAAAGATCAAATTCCTCTTTCAAAATATCTTTACCCAAGTCTTCTGATTCTAAATTCACTGCCTTCTGTACCAAATCATTATCAACAGAATGAAATCTGTGAGTTTCCTCTACATCTAGATAAGTGTCGGATGTAATGATGGGCAGAAGCAGACATTTCCCTTCTCCGAGAGGCTTTCAGGACATCACCTTCAGAATTCTGGGTTGCAAATGTTCCTGCTGCTTTGCTGTGACGGGTACTTGGCTGGGCAAGTTTTAGATCTCTTGAAAGCTCTTTTAATCTTAATTTCCCCTATAAAGTAACTAGGAAATAATATCTGCTTTCCTGTCTTATAATAGTCTTTTGAGAATCAAATGACAAGCTGCTTTTACAATAGTTTATAAAATTAAGCAATTAATAAATGTAAAGCTAACTAACATTTGCAGATTATTTTCTGACTTGATTTGCAAATATGCCATGATTTTGACCCAGAATACATCATTACTCCCACTGCAGAGATAAGGATAATAAGGCTCAGAGAGAGTAAGCAAAGGTTCCGTGTAGTGCCTTCATCACAACCAGGACTGCTCTTGGGTGAAGACTCTGGGCTCTGTCCGATCTTCTGCTGGGGTCTCACAGACCACTCTTCAGAGACCCACTTGACCTAAGCTGGGACCTAAGAGGGACATCAGCAGCAAATGTAAAGCATTGTGTAAATATGCAAGGAATTTTCATCTATAATGATTACATCCAGAGCTGAGTAATGGACAGGCAGGCAGGAAAGAGTTAATGATTCTCTCTTTTAGATTGGCGCCTGGGCTAACAACTGTTGCCAATCTTCCTTTTTTTTTTTTTAAGGATTGGCACCTGGGCTAACAACTGTTGCCAATCTTTTTTTTTTTTTTCTCTGCCTTATCTCCCCAAACCCCCCCGTACACAGTTGTATATCTTAGTTGCAGGTCTTTCTAGTTGTGGGATGTGGGACGCCGTCTCAACGTGGCCTGACAAGCGGTGCCTTGTCCATGCCCAGGATCCGAACCCTGGGCCACAGCAGCGGAGCGCACGAACTTAACCACTCGGCCACGGAGCCGGCCTGGAGGTAATGATTCTATTGCTTCGACAGTGGATCAACCTAAGAGATTAATAAAACTTCAAATTCAGGATAAAGTACAGTTAAGTTGTTTTCTTACTTGGAAAAAATGTTTCCCTGTTAGAAAGAGGAAGTATCTTCAAGAGTTATACCAATAATCACCAGGAACAAGCAATATTTTGAGCCCCAACATGGATAGCTGTTACCTAAAGATCTTTCAACACAGTATTCATTCATTCATTCATTCATTCATTCATTCATTGGAGGTGGTAGAGAGAAGCTTGTCTGTAATCAAAAGCTTTTTTGTGTGTGTATTTCTAAAAGTTGTTATCGGAAATGTCTTTCCTGAGTTGGGCTAGTGGAAATATTAAATAGCACTTTAAAAATAAATTGGTAGGAAACTTTTAAGTTAATCACTTCTAGAGCTATGCAGCTCCAAATTTGCAAACATAATCTTCAATTTTAATTATCCAATAGACACCTCTTTCTGTCCCTGCATTATTCCACTGTCCCTTTATATACTCACACAACCAAACATTCATTACTCATGGTCAGCAACACGTTACTGACAGTTTGAGTTAAGGATATAGGTTTTCAATTTGGGCAGAATTAGATTTGAAGTTTTACTCCACCACTTATTAGATATGTGACTTTGAAAAATTTGCTAGCTCTCTTTCTTTGCCTAAGTTTTCTCATCAATAAAATGGGGATATGTACATTAAAAATGTTATAAAGATTAAATTTGTAAAAGTACATAAAGCTATTTTTTATCATGGAGATTTTTAAAGCTTTATTGAGGTATACTTAACATGCCAAAAATTGCACATAGATTTTGATGAGTTTGAATATATGCATACATCCACGATACCATCCCCACAATCAAGGTAATAAACATATCCATCACTTCCCAAAAATTTCATGTCTTCTTGCTTTTTTTTTACGGCAATAACACTTAGCATGAGGCCTACCTTCTTAATGATTTTTAAGTGCATAGTACCGTATTGTTAACTATAGGTACTATGTTGTACAGCACATCTCTAGAACTTACTCATTTTGTATAACTGCCACTTTATATCCATTAGACACATCCTCATTTCCCTTTCCCCATCTCCCCTGGGAATTACTGTTCTATTCTCTGCCTCTGTGTGTTTGACTATTTTAGCCACCTCCTATAAGTGGAATCATGCAATATTTGCCCGTCTGTGACTGGCTTTCACTTAGCATAGTGTCTTCCAGGTCCATCCAAGTTGTCACAAATGGCAGGATTTGCTTCTTTTTTAAGGCTGAATAATATTCCATTGTATGTATATACCACATTTTCTTTAGCCATTTGTCTGTCAATGGATATTTGAGTTGTGTCTCTGTCTTGCCTGTTGTCAATAATGCTTCAATGAACATGGAAATGTAGATATCTTTTCTAGAACCTCATTTCAATTCTTTTGGATACGTACCCAGGAGTGGGACAGCTAGATCATGTGGCAGTTCTATTTTTAATTTTTTGATGAAACTTCATACTGCTTTCAGCAAGTGGTTATTATTAAAGTTGACATCGGTGTTATTATTGCTGTAAGTTTTTAAATTATTTTTACTATCAATGATCTTTTATAGATTCGCATAATAGCCAGAGTCATTCACAATAAAGTGAGCTGAAGATGACAACATTGCGTAGTACAAGGAGCATATAACTAGGAGTTGAAATGCTTGCAGTCTAGCCAGGATCATCCCCTTAAGTAATGGTAGATCTTAGCAGTGCTGCTCATCAGATCTGTTACCTCTTTTGTAAAACAAGGGCTCTGGACGGTATGAATGATGTGCTTCCTATTCCATCGGTCAGGAACCTATAGTTCAATCTCAATGTGCGTTTGTGAGTGTGCATGTGTGTTTCCTTACTGTTTCTAAGTATAATTTTATTCTAAAGGAACTATGATGTAGGTAGCAATGCTTTTCTTAGCAGGAAAAATATTTTATTGTTAAAAGCATATTGTGTTCTGCCTGTTTCTACCCCCACTACTAAGTGCCTTCAAGCTCTATAATTCCTCTATTTCTAATTTCTTGGAACTTATGATAAGAGATGGTGCATTATTCAGCAATGTAATTTCCCTTTGTTCCTCTAATGTTAACTTTGTTATAAAATTCTATGCTATTGTCTGAATTTTTCAGTCCGTAAAATACCAATGTATGTTTATCATTATGTCTATTCTACATTGGCCATGAAACACAAGAAAACTCTTAAATTCAATTGCAAACAACCTCCTCTGAAGAGCACTCAGACATTAATAATAGCACTGGAAAACTTAGTTGACATGGGTCCCCACAATGAAACTGATAGGAGTCATTTAAAATCCTTATTGTAACTCTGAATTACTTTGTTATTGCAGATGTCTCATTATCCTAGTAAAAAACACACACAACAAAAAACACCTGTCTGACAGAGGATTATAAAGGAAAGAGGTTTGAGTCTCTACACCTGAATATTTATATCATCCAAATGAAGCATTCTGTCATTTCCCATTTCCTAACAGCCAAATCAATATATCCACATATCATACAAGTACTGAAAATATGGGGCCATATCCTATACATTTTAAAGTGCTGCAGATCCATAAGCAAAATCAATTATTTCTGCATACTAGAAAGTGTATAAGTTACTAAATATATACTGGGGACAAGTCAAAACCACAGCTAATCTACCAGTGTGTAGTACTTCCTGGGTCCTTGATGCTTTGTAGCATTGGAGACGTTCCCACAATATCTAGACACACAACAGGAGTTACTAAAACGAGGTCACAGAGCAGGGGAGAGGAAGGCAGAAGCTCTGCAAAACTTGTTTTTAATGTTTTAAGGGTATAAGGTTATTCCCTGGCTGTTTTTATTTCTTCATTTCAAATTAAAAATGAAGTCTGTGACTTTTTTCAAAAACTATCAAATACAGCTACAAATATAACTGCTCAGATTATGTTTGCTTTCCCAAATTCATTTTATAAGTATTGAAATGAAGAAGCAACAGTATGAATGAAGGCTTCAAATTTGGAGTCCAGATTCCCACAAATCTATAAAGATGGGAATGGGCATTTGTGAACTTTTCCAGTAACAAGCTAATTAATTCATCCTATTTCTTTTCTTTTGCTCTGATGATATTAAACTAGAGTGGTGATGGGTTATCCCACGCTGATTAGAAGCTCTAATTGCCATGCATATTTTAGGTGAATAACAATATAGGACTGAATTATTTATTTTTGAATAAATAAAGTTTAGAGAATACAATTAAAAATTATTGTCCTTGAGAGGAAAAATAAAAGGAGTCTGTAGTGAGCTGAATGGTGTGTCCCTAAAATTCGTGTATAAGTAGAACTTCAGAATGTGACCTTATTTGGAAATAGAGTCTTTACAGATATAACTAGTTAAGAATCTTGAAATGAAGTCATCCTGGATTTAGGGTGGGGTCCATATCCAATGACTAGTGTCCTTATGAGAAGAGGAGAGGACACAGAGAGACAGAGAGGAAGGTGAGACACAGATAGGAGAGATGCATCTACAAGCCAAGGAACATCAAGGATTGCTTGCAGCCATCAGAGTTTAGGAGAGAGACACAGATGGATTCTCTCAAAGCCTCCAGAAGGAGCCAATCCTGTAGACAACTTTATTTCAGACTTCGGGCTATTTTTTAAAAATGATTTTACCTTCTGCAGAGAGAAAATCCTAAAAGTCTGTATATATTCAGGGAGTCAGAATCTTGGTTTGATGATACTGAGCTAAATGTGTTAAATTCCACTTGCCAAAAAAACTCGTAAGTATTAAACAATTCACACTACCAAGTTCTTTTGGTCATGTGGCTACTATTCTTCATTTGTTTTCCAGATCACTCTTTTCTTAGCTGTTCAGTGGGCATAGAGTTAGCTTTAGTGGTAAGAAATCTTTAATTTTGGTAAGCAAAAGTCATAATATGACATTAGAGTCTTTTTGTTTTCAGTTTACATATACAATTAAAAATAAGTATTTTATCATTGTTACTAACATAAGCAAAAATCACTATTAAAAATTTTGGTGTATATATTACCATAGATATTTCCCTATTCAAATTTTGTTGGTTTATGAATATGAATGCATGCACTAATACTGGTATAAAACTGAGTTATTCACTTAACAGTGTTTTAAATATTTAACATGTGATTTAATATTTTTATATTACATCATTTTCAATAGCTGTGCAGTATTCTATGATATGATTTTGTCTGAAATTTCTATATTTGGATTCTTAGCGTCTTTTTTCTTAATACTTGCTATTAAAGTAACAGTGCAATGAACATGCTTATAGTCAAAAACTTTGAAAAAATATGGCTGTAGAATTGGAATAAACTCCCGGGGTAGAAAATCATCATACATATATGAAGATACATACACAGACAAACACACACACATATACACGTATATAAACATCTGTAGATAACATATATCTCTACACTTCTTTCCAGGAAGAATCTAGAAATTTTCTGTGTCTCAAGTGGTATGCGAGAGCTTGTCTCTCTCTCACAGGCTTTCCAAAACAGAATATCAGCATTCATTTTTTATCTTTATTACTTTGATCAGAGGAAAATGCTAACTCACTTTTGTTTTAATTTGCATTTCTCTACTGTTGAGAGTGAACATTTCATCATGCTATTGGCCATTTATAGTTCTGTAAATTGAGTATCCAATTGTTAGTTTTTCTATTAGAATGCTCATCCTTTAATGAATTATTTTATAAAAATAAGTTTATTTTATATTCTTAATCTTTATTTGAGAAGGAAAAGCAATGAAAATAAAGTTTTAGAGCTTCAAATGCTTCTATCTATTAAAAAATAAGTCTTTGTGCTCGCATCATCAGCACATATGCTAAACTTAGAATGATACAGAGAAGATGATCATGGTCCCTGCACAAGGATGACTGGCAAATTCATGAAGTGTCCCATATTTTGTATGATATATGTGAAAGTTGTTAAGAGACTAGATCCTAAGAGTTGTCATCACATGGAAAATTTGTTTTCTTTTCTCTCTTTTTCTTTTTATTGTATCTATATGAGATGATGGATGCTAACTAAACTTATTGTCGTAATCACTTCACACTAAATCTAAGTCAAACCATTGTACTGTACACCTGAAACTAATACAGTGATGTATGTCATATGTATCTCAATAAACTGGGGAAAAAAAGGCTTGGATTAAATTATCCTTAGCGTCTCTTCTTCTAATCTAATATTAAATTTTTGAAAAATTTTCAGCAAGATGTTTCCCTTTTGGTGAATTCTTTCAAAGGAAACTACGTGTTTTGCTAAGTGTCCCATTAAGTACATACACCTCATTTCATCTTCAATTATTTTTACTTTCTTCTCATCATTTCATCAGGGAAAAGGACATAAGATCTTGGCTTTTCTTAAGCTTTTTAAACAGTATGGTAGAGTGCCATGACTTCTGCTTAGATTCAACAATACCCACCCAGGAGATTTTGTCCAGACATAAAACAAGTTATGTGATTTTTGGTGATCTATCTTAGAAGCACGCTCACCATTATGCTAAAATTTTATCGGCATAAAAGGCAAAAAACATGAGGGAAAACAGGTTTTGATCAAGTCTCAGAGTGTGGGATGAATAAGTATGGGTTTCCCCCAGTATCCAAAATTTCACTTTCTACTCCTTCACTTTTATGAAAGATCTACATCAGCACCACCTGTTTTTGCTAACTGAAAGAAATCCAAAGAGGATTTTCTCTTTTATGAAAAAAGGTGAAAAGTAATAATAGCGTTCAGCATTTATTGTGCAGCGAGTCCTTATGCAGGCCAAGCAGTCAAGTATACTGTCATATTCAAGACTGCCACATCAGCCACATGAGCCACAGCAGACAACAAACCTCAACCTTCGACATGGAGGCAGGCAGACCCAGAAGGTCTAGACATTCGTGACCTGCCTGTGCTGATGGATTCAGATGATGATGAGATGCTATTAGATGGCCTTTTTCCTCTCTCTCCTACACCCTACTCCTGTACCTTCCACCATCCCAACCTCTGATGACTCAGGTTAACACACCATCACCACCACCACCTCTCACCTTCCAGTGTGCTCACTGTCTTCCCAATTCTGGTAAGTAAAACTACACAGTGCATACATTATTTCTACTTTCTACAGCCTGTGTATTTATCATATCATTCCTGCTTTTACTATATGTTACTGTCACTTTATGTTATATGTGTTATTTGGTATGATTTGGTAAGCTATTTTGGGGGTCTGGGAATACTTGAAAATTTTTCCCATATAAACTAATGGTATTGCTTCTTCACTTTACACCATCTCAGCTTACCAAAGTTCTCACAGGAATGCTCTACTTTCAGATAGCGGGGTAAACCTGTAGCTTAAAGTGTGTGTGCATGCTATGATTTCAAATGAATTTACTGAGTACTTTCTATAGAGAAAGGAATTTGATAAGGGGTTGCTTTCTTTTTTTTCCCATTTGCAATGATAATTTACTTTATCCATTAGTAGTAAATTATGAGGTTCAGTTTGTACATTGCCCTGGACCCAGTTTATCCGCCACTCCAGATTTGCTCAACTTCATCCACCAAACCTTGCCATGAGCCACTGCTATATGGTTTGCTTCCTAAGTCTCTGGCAATAGTTCACGCTCTTAGGGCTAAAAAGCCCTGAGTACTGCTGTTACCCTGGAGCAAGCCGCCGCCATGTAAGGTGCCACCTGACAAGGAGAGAACTCCATATTCGCACACTCAACAGAAGCTCTGGCTTCCCAGGGGGTTGTTTGGAAGTACGGAACACTTAACAACCTGTGGGTGGACTTTGACCAATGATAGACAAGAGAGAAACTGCTCACGCTTCCTACCCAGCCATCGACTGTGAGACGTAATAGTTCATGTGGCCTCTCCAGAGATATCCCATTAGGCCAAGCAAGCTTTGTGTTTGTTCTAAACTTGTGGCCAGATTAATAGTATGCCACCATGATTGGTTTCTCATCTTCCTTGCCTCACTTCCTTTGTTCTCTCACTCTTGGTTTCCTGGGCTTGTACTCCCAAAGGCATTACGTTGAAAGCCTGCCTCAGTCTCTGTTTTCTAGGAACCTGGAGTGACATATCTTAAGGGTTCCAATAGTCAAAGGAAATACATGACTATTCATTTTATAAAATAAAAACCATATTCTCTAAATACTGCATTGAAACTGGGTCCAGTTTCCATAGGGAAGCTTGACCTACCATTGGAATTCATCCAATATGGCTACAAAAGTGAATTTACTTTTGTTTAGGGAAAGTAAAATAATCTCTCTGTTTATTCTCAAACTACCCTTCTCCCCATTTTCCAACCCCATCCTCACCCCTGGAGATTAGGGAAGGGGAAACCAAAGTGACTTAAACTTGGAACTATTTGATTAGACTACTTTTAAGTTATTTGACAATAGGAAATACTGCTGAATCAGCAGTGCTTAGAAACTAATATGGATTAAAAAGAAATCTATGAAACATTTATTAAGATGATGTTACAGAAGCCAAATATGCAGTGAAAGCATTATAGAAACCATCAGGTTAAAAATATAAAGGTTATTCTTGTTCAGACCAATAAATGTCACCTGCCGGGGAAAAAAAAAAGAAAGCTCCCTTGAAGTGAGAGTATATTTTATTCTTAAAGCATTTAATTCATCAAAACCTTGCAAGACTGCACCATGTGAACACTGACCTGTGAACAGGTACCAGAGGTTATTCGGCTCCAGGGTTTCCATCTCACCCCTGCGGGTTGTCTTTCTATGTCGAATTTTATAGCCAGTAATAAATCCATTTTGTGTTCCTGATGGAGGAGGGAGCCAGCTTACTTTGATACTCTGTAAAATAATAGATGTAAATTAAAACATTGGAGAGAGGAAGGACAACAGGACCGGGTCAAAGAAATGACTCAAGCCAAATCTAAGTATGCATAAAGCAGAGAGGCAAGAAGTGTTAGGGATCGCCCATTATAGCCAAATTAAATCCATTCTTACAATCTGACAGTATTCCTATTTGCCAGATTTTGACAAAAATACACAATTAATTTGATTGATTACATGCATTCTCTCCTCTCCTTTGAAAATGCAACAAAAATGACAGTAAAATATTCTAAAGGGTATAAACCCATAAGGAAATAGAGAATAGGACTCCAGTGGATGAGAGATGTTAACAAACATTTAGGAGGTGTAAACTGAGGGAATTGTGGTGACTGAACCAAAGGAGAAAAATGAAACCTAAATACCCCCTTAAGAGATATTAATGAAAACAAGGTGATTTGCATGATGAAATTCAAGGAGGACTGGAAATTGTTGCTTCCTAAGCATCTTGGAAGGCAGGACTGAAGCATGATGCTGAAGTAAGAGATAGATTGCAAGTCCTTCCTACATCCACTAAAGCCAATCTACTAACTTTCTCTGACCTTGGAGTAGCTGAGAGCTTTATTCTCTAGGGATATTAAAACAGAATCCATGGACTTAGAGAAATCTGGCACAGAAAAGTGTAGGGATGACAGAGATATAATACTGCCAAGTCTTCCTTCCTCTTGTACCTAGAGCAATGGCAACCCAGTACATACTTTCCAGGAAGAATATCAGATAATTGGTCTCTAGAGAAATTATAAGTTTGGCCCTAGAGAAAACAACAGCCAGGTCCCTAATCAATACCCCCAACAATGAGGCTCCCACTTAATAACCCCACTTATGCACTAGACTTTGCAATTGGCAATCAGTTTTTCAGTATTTCACTTAATGTAAACTGACAATTTAAGACTACTAGAGATTAGAAAAGCCTTTAGCATAAAAGACAGAGGAAAAAATACATAAAAACATAATAGCTCTTGAAGGAAATAATATTAATGCTTAGAGGAGAAAAAGGACCCAAAAAGCTGTCATTTGGGGCCAGCCCCCTGGCTGAGAGGTTAAGTTCATGCTCTGCTTCAGTGGCTCAGGGTTCACTAGTTCGGATCCTGGGCATGGACCTACACACTGTTCATCAAGCCATGCTGTGGTGGCATCCCACATGGAAGAACTAGAATGACTTACAACCAGTATATACAACTATGTACTTGGGCTTTGGGGAGAAAAAAAAAAAAAGAGGAAGACTGGCAACAGATGTTAGCTCAGGGCCAATCTTCCTCACCAAAAAAAAACCCCAAAACAACTGTCATTTATGCCCTGATAATCTAAGAGAAGATATTGCATACATGAACAGGATAGAAATATAGGAATAATGAAAGCTTTTTTTTAATAAGGGCACTGGGCATTGGTTTACAACATTGTGTAAATTTCAGGTATACATCATTATATCTGGCTTCTGTATAGACTTCATTGTGTTTACACCAAAATTCCAGTTTCCATCTGTCACCATACATATGAAAATTTGTTTTTATTATTATTTTGTGAGGAAGATTCAACCTGAGCTAACATCTCTTGTCAATCTTCCTCTTTTCTTTGCTTGAGGAAGATTAGCTCTGAGATAACATCTGCACCAGTCTCCCTCTATTTTTTACATGGGACACCGCCACAGCATGGCTGATGAGTGGGCCAGGTCTGCACCTGGGATCCGAACCCACAAACCTGGGACACCAAAGCAGAGCACCCAGAACTTTAAACACCTGACCACAGGGCTGGCCCCCTGAAAGATTTTTTTGAAAAGCTTATGACAATTATAATTTGGTGGCAAAAATGAAATATGCAATAGGTAAGTTGGAATATAAATTAAAAGAAATCATTTAAAATTCAGTGGGAAAAAAGATACTCATATGAAATTGGAGAGAAAAGATAAGATATTAGAGGTTTAGTTCTTAATTTCCAACATTCAACTAACAAGATGAAAGAATGAAAAAGCAGGATAAAGAGAATGCAGAAAACTAGCAAAAAAAAACCCCCCAAAACCCTCCCCCCCAGTAAAAACCTTACAGAAGGGAAAAACGTGAGACTCCAGTCTGAAAAGGATTATGGAATGTCTACCAAAACACGTTAAAAAGAGCCACATCAAAGCATGTTACTTTGAACTACTAGAGCCCCAAGAAGAAGAGAGGATCCAAAAGCTTCCAGAATGGGGGGCGGGAAAAAGCAGGTCACACAAAAAATGATCAGGAGTAAGAAGAGTAAGAAGTGAGATTTCTCAACAACATTTGAAGTTAGAAACAATGGAACAATACTTAAAATTCTGATCCTAAAGGATTTTAACCTAGAATTCTAAAGCCAGACAATAAATTGTCAAGTATAAGGAAAATATAAGTAAAAGAATATGTGCCTGTGTAAGTACAAGTACAAGGATATTTCAGATACACATGATTTCTAAGATATCCACCTGTGTTCCCTTTATCATGAAGCTAATGGGGGGTGTGTTTGAGGAAAGTAAGGATGCAAACTGAGAAAGAAAACGATTTGAAATCCGAGAAACAGAGAACCCAAACTGGAAAAAAAATATGGAATTTCTCAGTGAAGAAAATTGTAGCATGATATAAGATTAGGCGTGGTGAGACCCCAGATTCTAAAGAGTGTATATTGTATAATTCCATTGATATGAAGTTCAACAACAAGCAAAACTAATCTACAGTAATATGAATCAGAACAGTAGTTGTCTATGGCAGGTGCACCGGAAAATTGAATGGCCATGGGTAGAAGACGACTTTTTGGAGTAACAGAAGTATTCTGCATCTTTATTTCATGTTTCTTATATGGATGGATACAATTGCCTAAATACATTACTATGAGCTGAATTGTGCCCCTGCTCCAAATTCCTATGCTGAAGTTTTAATTCCCAGGACCTCAGAATGTGACTGTTTTTGGAGATAGGGCCTTTAAAGAGGTCATTAAAGTTAAACGATGTCATTAATGTAGGCCTAATCCAATATGACTGGTGTCCTTATAAGAAAAGAAAAGATTAAGACACAGAAAATACAGAGGCAGACCGCATGAAGACCCTAGAAGAAGACAGCCATCTATAAGTTGAGAGAGAGGACTCAGAAGAAACAACTCTGCTTATACCTTGATCTTGGACTTCTCGCCTTCAGAACTGTGAGAAAACAAATACCTGTTATTTAAGCCATCTGGTCAGTGATATTTGTTATGGCAGCCTAGCTGACCAATACACTCATGGAACTAAACACTTGAAGATCTGTATTTTTCTCTTTAATTAATTACACCTCAATGAAAGAAGAAGAAGAAATAGAAGGACAATGAGGAAGAGGAGAAGGAAGAGCAGGAGGAGGAAAAGAGGAAGAAGATTGGGGAAAGGAAATGGAGATGGAGGTGAGTAAGTGTGCTAAATCCTGACATAAAAATAAATCGACAGATGATCTCTACAACTGGTGAATTAAAACTGGGGAATGAAGGGACAGCTACACAAGCACATTAGTGAGAAACATAAAGGTAAATGCCATAAAAGAAATGACGGCTAAAAGCAATGGACATGGGAGTCTGAAGGGAACGGGAATGGGATTTGGGGAGGTCAGGGAAGGGTCTATTGGTTTTTGTTATAAGCCTACTGATGCTATTTAACTTTTTTTTTTATGTTTTGCATTATTTTATTATGTAACAATCAATAGCTAATACAAAGTCATGATTATTGCCATATCTGCATACTATTAATTCTATCACATATTTTTTCAGGTATTTTATTGAGGTATAATTGACTAATAAAATGATAAGATATTTAAGATGTCCATCACTGTGATTTGATACATGTGTACATTGTGAAAGGATTTCCACCATGTCGTTAAGTTAACGCAACTATCACCTCACATATGTATCTTTGTTTGTGTGAGAACATTTCAGTTCTACTCTCTTAGAAAATTTCAATTATGCAATACAGAGTTATCAACTATGGTCGCCATGTTTTACATTAGATCCTGAGATTTTATTCATCTTATAGCTGAATGTTTGAACCCTTTTAGCAACTTTTTCCTATTTCCCCTACCCCTCACCTTCTTTTTTTTTTTTTTTTGTATACATTACATCGTGTTCACCACCCGAACACTACATATTTAAAGTGCTAAAAGGAAAAAACCTACAAGCAAGAATACTCTATCCATCAAGCTTGTCATTCAGAATGGAGGGAGAGATAAAGAGCTTCCCAGACAAGCAAAAATTAAGGAGTTTATCACCAATAAACCAGTTTTGCAAGAAATGCTGAAGGGACTTATTTAAGTGGGAAAGCAATGACCACAAACAGAGATAAAAAAAATTATCAAAAATTCCAAAAAAACAACAATAAAAACCAGGCAATAAAATCACTTGTAAGGTAAAAGTATAGTAAAGGCAGCAGATCAACTACCTGTGAAGATAATGTGGAGGTTAAAAGACAAATGTACTAAAATCACCTATTTCAATGGTAAGAGGGTAATGGATAGACACACACTAAACAAAAGACTATATATGATGTGAAAAACATATAATGTGGGAGGAGGGGAGTGAAAAAGTAGAGCTGTTAGAAAGAGGTCAAGCTAAAGAGTCTATCTACTCAATGTAGACTGTTATATGTCTAGTATATTAAATAGGATCCTCATGTTAACCACAAACCAGAAACCTATAACAAGCAGGAAAAAAAGTAAGACAAAAGAAATCAAACATATTACTAAAGATAGCCATCAAACCACAAGGGAAAAGAGCAAGAGAAAAAGAAAGGAACTGAGAAGAACTACTAAAACAGCCCCAAAAAAGAAAAAGTGACAAAATGGCAATAAATACATATTTATCAATAGCTACTTTAAATGTCAATGGAGTAAATGCTCCAATCAAATGCCATAGGGTGGCCAACTGGATAAAAAAACAAGATCCATGTATATGCTGCATACAAGAGACACACTTCAGACCTATTTAACTTTTTAAAA